AGAACTTTGGACTAAACATTTTTTAAGCTTGTCAGAACTAGATTGACATTTATGAGCAATGAAGATACTGGGGAAAGGGAGTATTGTACATTGGAGAAATGTTTTTTGTCACTGTCTTTAACCTGAGCTTTTGTTTACTTCTAATATTATTCTTGAGATCAGAGACCAGGTATAATTTGGATTAAGGAAGAGGAAGAACAGAGAAGAAATACTGAGCAATGTTTGCATGCTGTAAATATGCACTGAGGAGACTTTATATCTTAATAGAGAAAAGTAGGGCCCTGACTTAGAAAAGCACTTAAGTGTGTGCTTTTTGTCAGGGAGTGACAGTCCTACAAAGCCTATTGACTCATAGACTGAAAGGGGTTTCTACTCCTACCTACCCCTGAGTGGACTAGAGAATAAGGGGAGGGTTGAATTTTTTTATTATTATTACTTTCTGATTTTTTTAACCCCCACAGAGTCAAGGTGAACTGTGGGAATATTAAGTCCTGCAAAATTACAAACAGAGAAGCATTCCTCCAAATTAGTAGGAAACCTCTTCCCTCGGCATGCTATGTTTGCGCCTGGGAACAGGAGGTCAGGTATTTAGCTGGGCAGACCAAATCATATACAGAGCTTGTGAAAATAATTATCTCTGCATTTCCAGCTTTTGTTTCACTGCCCTTAAATATGCACTGAAATTTCAGTCTGAAAATTCTGAACCAGAACATGATTTTGCTGGGGAAATTGCGTATAAAACCTAATTAAAAGCATCAACCCACACTTCTCTTTTAAAAGTACATCTACTACCATCATGCCTCTAAATGTAACAGAGCTCAACAAGTCTCTAGCAGCCAAGAAGACACATAATTTAAAGGCTATTTTGGCATTTGATTAAGCACACAGTGATAACTACAAGCCCATGCCCTGCAGGCATGACAAGAGGCAATTATGTTCTGAGGTCAAAAGCGAGGGGGAGAAAAAGCACAAGATTTTGATGACTTACTTAATTTTCCAGCTCCTGAAATTAGCAGAGACAAAGAAGTTTTAAATCGCCCAGATAAAATCCTGTCATTATCTGTTGCCTTTTCACCCTCTGCTCTCACTTTGCTCTGCAGAAGCTCAGGAGGATTATTTTCCACCAAATGGCTGCACTTATAAAACTCAAGTTGGCACACATTTAAATGTTAAAGAATTTGAAAAACACTCTTTTTAAGTTCTGTATTTAGATGGCTGTCTGCACATAGGATCCTGGAAAAAGACACCTGTTTTCCAAAGTAGTGAGCAGCCATCGGCTCCTCTTGACTTCAAGCCAACAATTAGGTCACTTATTTAGGAGATTAAATAAGGAGCTCAGTGAGAGACTGCAAAGATAGGGAGCTGCTCAAAGAAGAGAGAAGTGTATTAATGAATTAATACAATCGTGCTGTGTATTTCACAGATGGGCTTTGATGTATCTTGTTTCATGGCAAAAGGCAAAACATCACTGCTCCTTATAGGAAAACCAGTAAAAATGATTAAGTAAGATTATCATATAGGGACACAACATCAAGAAATGTGTTTACAAGAAGATAAACAGCCAGGCTCTAATCTCACTTTGGAGTATTTACTGCAGATATCAGGGTAGAAGAAAAAGCCATCCAGAGCGAGTGATTTGGTGGACAATGTCAGGATGGAAAACACGTGCCTATTGCTTTAGTAGAAAGCACGATAGGAGATCACGTTGCATTACACTATTCAGCTTCTTCTACAGTTTTTCCAGGGTGTCAAATTGCTCTTATGCTTTATATCCAGAAAATAAATTTAAATGTTGACTCTGATACCACAGGGAGGTATCTGTAAGTGAAAGCTGTCCTTCTTAATGGCAAGCAGGCAAGTGATAAAGAGAGAAGCAAAAAAGGTGAATTCCAGGAAACTGAAAGCCAAATCTGGAAATGTTTTTACCTGTCCAGAGATTCTTTAACGGAAAGTAGAACATGAGCTGTTACTTTGGGGAAGGGGCATTCAGTTTTGGTTTGGATTTTTTGGGGTTGGGGGTGGTACTTTGAACTGACATACATGCAATTTTAGTAGATCAGTGCTGTAGAGTCTCTTGTACAGGAGACATGCTCAAGATGCAAGAAGTGTGCTCTCAGTGGACCATAGAAACATGTTTAACAGCTTTGTCATTTGCTGGTAGCAGTTCCTAACATCTTATTTCCAACAAAACGGAAGCATTAAAGTTAGCTACATATGTACAGTATTACTTTTTGACAAATACACCAGGTTTGTATGGGTGTATTCTCAGGCAGTTAATTATTGTGCTTTTAAGTAGGGTTTTCCTCAGCCATCATGTGTTTAATGTCTTTCTTTGATGATCTAGAATAGTTACTGAAAAAAACAAACAAACAAACAAATCAACATAGGAATTAAGAGCAAAAATATATTTTCTGAATTGTGTGGGTCAGAAGTTTGAGTTTTGTATTCTGTAGTGGGAACTGTAAAAAGTAAAATAGTATTAGCAACTGTCTTTGCCCTTTGTATAGCATACATTAACTGTCCAGAGAAAAGGATCCAAATTGACCCCGGGCTGGGCCAAACCATAGCTCCCCACAGTTAATATTGCCTGTAAATCTCATTTTGTCATTTCTTTGACAGTTAATAGGAGTCATCCAAGTACATGGCAGGAGGAGGGAGGGCCCTTGGCCTCAGCGTTCTGCCAAAAGCTGCTAGAAACCTTCTGCCTCCCATGTCACCAATCTGCTCAGATTTAGTACAGAACAGGCTTGAAAAGAGAGCTCACCACAGCTCTTTTCCAAAATGAGGAGCCTGGCATCAGAAGTTTTTTGGTCAGCACTGGCCTGTTGCCATAGCGTATCGCAGAGCAGAGCCTGCTGCAGGCTTCTGTGGACAGATCCCTGTAAGTGGACTTAATACCTCTTGATATTGTTTGTAGGGCTGGCTAAAATTGCTGGGCTCTGCTGACTCTGTCTTTCTGGCTGGCTTATCTCTTTGATCAAATGTTGTCTCTTAAGTTTTTCCCATCCTTCCTCCACTTACCTTGATGTTGATTAGTGACATAAAGACAAGGGTAAGAATGAAGTATTGCATCTTAGAGGTTTGAGGTATTGCATCTTAGAGGTTCATGCTTGTCCTCCTCATTTCTCTCCTTTTGTAACAGGAGAAGTTGGTTGCAGTAAGAATTTACTGCATTACACAAGCGTATGGTGCAATATGAGCCCAGGGTAAAACTATTTCTCCAATGTCAAGGAAACCAGGGCATCTTACGTGATCCAAACCCTAAAACTATGCCAATTGTAGAAGCTATTATTCAAGAATAAGCTCATGTCTGTCTTGGGAGTTTGGCAATTAGTCCTTAACTGTGGTGCATCAGTAAGGATCTGATATTTGAGTAATCCCTGTAAATTTACAGAAATGGAAATGTTTATCTGTCCAGTAATACGTAAATGAGACAACTGACAAGAATAGAAGGCTTCGTGGAAATTAATATGTTGGATTGCTGCCTGTCAGACAGATAGAACAGCCTTGATATGGTTAAGGGATGTTCCGAGAAACATCAGTATGCTCCTGTTTTCCATAAGCAAACTTGGCATGCATGTACCACATGAAAGTTTTCTGGGAGAAGACAGCAGAACACTGGATGGGATTTTCGGTTTTGGGGGGAGGGTATTTTGGTGTTTTTATAATGGAGCCCAGGGAAAGTGAGTTGCTGAAAGATTTTTGGTGTCAGATGGGCCATGGATCTGCTAGAGGGTTAAAGCTTCACTGATTGCTCTGTGACCATCACACAGATACAGGCTTGATTTGTACGTTGAGTTTTGTGGTTGGAGGTAGTACAATGTGTAGCTAGGAGGGCACATCATCCCTGTAGCTGGAAGCCTTTTTGCTGTGGGTGAGTTTTCATTCTTGTGGAATAAGTAAGGAAAAGAGTTGACTTTTGTTTCAGTTTGCGGCTGGTGTGCTAGGCTGGGAAGCAATTGTTTGGTTCCCAGCTTCACCATGGATTTCCCATGAGATCTTCTGGAAGCCGCATAACCCTTCTGCTACTGAGATAAGAAAGACAAAGCATAGCTACTTCATATGGATATTTGGGGATTAATATGTTCACTTTGATCAAGCTGTTTGAGATCTTTGGATCAAAGATGCTGTAAAGATGAGAAATACAATTGCTTGTTGTCTAGTGAGTTTATTTACTAATACTTTTAGGGCTTTGTTTTCAAGGCATCTCAAAGTGTGTTTCTTTTTTCTTTTGCAAACTGTAGCCTGGATTTCTTTTAAAACAGGTAAGATTTCTGAGAGCTCTCTAATTTTACAAGTATTTGCCAAGTATTTGACCATCTAGGCAACTCCAACACAAAACTAAGACTGAACTTAAATTACGCAGTGTCCCATAAATTGTCCTTTCCATGGAAAATATCACTGCAGGGCCCAAACTTTGGGAAGATTGCCAGAACCCACAGGCCATCCCCTGGCGTGCTGCAGGCTACAACAAAAGCCATCAGCCTCTCATTTTCTAAGGACCAAGAACAGGACCAGGAGCAATACAGATGTTATTACATCTGCTGTAGGACAGGTGCAGTCTTGCTGAGCAGGTGGGATCCTGGTGCTTGGATTGCTCATTGTCATAAAATTTCCTTTGCCTGATCAAGTACAACACAGGGCTGTAATTTTATATATCAAAACCAACTAGCTTTTCACCTGGTAAGTAGAAGTAATAACAATGCCATAGTTGCTATTTACCTCTTTCAATAGGCAATTTCTAAAGCCCTATATAAAAGGGATCTCTTCAGGGTTTTTTTGAGATGAGAAAATCAAGTCACTGAGTGGAGAAGTAATTTCTCTGGAGAGGCAGCAAGCCAGCGATCGGACCCCGTTTCTACAGACCGTATCTCAATGGTACAGAAACTATCTCAGTGCAGCACATGGATAAAACCTGCTGCTAAACGTCATTCCGCTTTTAATCTTAGCCTCAGCGTGGAAAGTAAATGTTTACTGTGTTCCTGTGTTAATCCTTGCAGCTTTCAGCCGAGCCCCGGTCCCCATGGCTGTGGTCCGAAGGGAGCTGTCCTGTGAGAGTTACCCCATTGAGCTGCGCTGCCCAGGAACAGATGTTATCATGATCGAAAGTGCCAACTACGGGAGGACTGACGATAAAATCTGTGACTCTGATCCTGCTCAGATGGAGAATATCCGCTGTTATCTGCCAGATGCCTATAAGATTATGACTCAAAGGTATAGTATTTAATATTATTGTGTTTGCTGACTGTTGGTTTTTTAATCCGGAATGTACACACCAGTTTGTGTGTGTGTGTTTGCACGAGAAAATGCAGGTACTTAGTCTGTATGTATGTGCACAGAATTACAGCTATCGTTGCTAAACTGTGGGTTTAACGGAGTTGGTTTAGCATCATGCAATATAAATGACATTTGCTGTATGTACTACTGATCAGTCAACTTGATTCTCCAGTTTTGCCTCTGAAATACCTAAATATCAAGGCTCTTAATGAGAATAGAAGTGAAATCTTTCTCAAATTAATGTTCACTGGTTTTTGTGCTATGTTCAAACAGAAGGCCAGTAATCTCCTTCAAACAATTAACATTTTGTGTTCAGAATAACATTTACAGTTTTGAAAACACAAAGTGTCTGCTTCATTCCTTGTGTTGCCAGACTTAGTTTTAGGGAGGATCTGAATTTCCAGTCAAGGACTGGTATTCACATTGGTCTCTCAGAAGACTTGCTAAATTTCTGTATAATAACTATAGCTTTTGACTGTGGCTACTCCATCTGGAAATGGTAACTGAGATACAAGCCATGTAGACAGGCTCCTGTATTGCAGAGTGTCATGGTTTGAGAGCTTCAAAAATCTAATTCCCTAGTCAAAGCCCCCTCCCACATCTCAACCTAGTATAAGATGTGTTTTTCCAAAAAAACCACACGAGACTTAGAATGGGGGAAAGGGAATATATTACAATGACTGTACAAATAAATATTATAATAAATTACACACATGATCTCAACTATCTCTACTATGATAGATCAGTATTTACAATGGATCAGATCCCTTCTCCCCTCCAAATAAAAGTCCAGGAGGGAAGAAGGAAAGATCCCTTCTTCAGAGCAGCAGTGTCTCTAAGGCAGCAGGTCTCTCTGTCTCTATGCAGCAGCTGTAACTGGATTGTTGTAGCTGGATCTCTTTTCAATACACACAAGGGGGTCTCCAAGCCCCTTGGCCTGTCATCTCCAAACGAGGGTCTTCAAGACACAAGGGGGTCTCCTTTCACCCCTCTTGGCTCTCCTTTGACTCCAAGTGAAGGTCTCACCTGTGGACTGCCAGCAGGGACAAAACTCTCTTCACCACAGGCATATCACGAAATGCAGGGGCATCTTCGTGAAAGTCCCTTCCCCAGGGGTTCACCCCTGAGTCAGAACATCTTGGGCAGCATTCAATTGAAAGCCTTTGCCTCAAGAGTTCTACCAGAGCTCCTGTGCTCTGTCTCAGGCTGCTAGGCTTGTTGTCAGCAGCAGTGAGGGGGGCCAAGGTCAACTCCCCCGCATTCCTTCTCCGTCCCGGTCCAGCTTCAGGACGTCTTTGAGCTTCTCAGCTCCTCTCTCTCTGGTGCTGCAGCACTCCAAGACTCCTCTCCTTAATAGGAGTCCATCTCTCTTCTTTCTCGGAGGTCTCAGAGGGGTATGGGGTTTTATTCCAGTGTTCTTACCCCAACTTCCTCTCTCCCTGCTGCTCTCTCGGCTTTTCTGAGACAACTCAGTGTCTTCCTTACTCAGCTGCATGCTGTTTCTGCTGCTTCAGTTATCTCTTGGCTCTTAGCCACAGTCTCTGGACGCTGCGTCTGCCGCTGCTCTGTCTCTGCTCACTCACAGTGGAGAAAACTTTTTTTAGCTTTCTAGCTGCAGATACTTAGCCTGGCCTCACGCTGTTCCAAGTCCCCGCAGCACCCCCCAGCCAGGGGCTGGGGGACCCAGAAGGCCCCAAGGGGCTCCGAGCCCCTTTCCTTGTGGCCTTAGAACATGGCTACCACTTCTACTACCAAACTACAACTAACCTTCTCTTCCATTTGCTTGTGGTATGTTTATATTTCGCAGAAGCGCTCATCGGATAAAACTTCAGAAATTCCAGGGTCACCACCCCCTGGGGTTTTACCATTTTATAACTGCAGGGGGAAAACTGTTTTCCCCCCACCACACAGAGCCAGGGCCTATTAGTTTTTTCCAACCTAGAGGTATCCTGGTTATGGAAAGCCTGTAACTTGCTAAATTTTTAAGGATATTTTCTGGCACAAGTGGTGTTGTGGGAAGGATTCATAAGTCACAGCTCTTGACATGTAATAATTGCATTCAGTAAATTTTTCCTAATACGTGAATAATTATTCACTACATTTGACTGTTAATTAGCAATAGAGATTAGTATTTCAAGATATTAATAATGGTATTGACATAGGCAAGGTGTTGCTAATTGACGTCATGACAGCAGTGTTTGCGTAGTGACCTAATGGCTTAAAGCAGTGCAAGGTTTTAATGGAGTATCTCAGGATTGTTTGCTGTGAGATGCTTTGCACTAAAAATGGTCTGGGGTGAGCAAAAGAAAAGAAAGCTTGAGTTTCATCTGTGTTTCACATGCTAACTGCTGTTTTTGACCTCCTCGTAGAATTGCTCCATGTCAAGTATTTAGGTCTCAGAATGCTGACCAGTCTCACGTCCCTTTTGCTGGAGGTGGCTCCTATTAGACCATTTGAATTGGACCTCCTTGCATAGCTGGTTGAAGTCTTGTTTATAGATTATGCCAGCTATATTTTCAAGAGAAGTGGAAAGGGTAACAACGTGCCATCAGCCAGTCCCCTGGATTTGGTGTGGTTTTAGTGGAATTACTGTAATTCTCATGTTCAGGTTGTTAGTGGCTTCAAGCAGAAACCCTTAATCCTCTGCATATTGGCAGAATAAAACCATGTCATCCCTTTGTGGGCTGTTACAAAGTATTAATATTTTTATATATATGTATTATTGTCCTCCAGGCACCAGCTTCCGAGCCAAATGCAGAACTCTGCAATCTTCCAGTCAGTCCCTACGCGTAGCAAGTGTGCAATAGATGTTAGCTCTTTGGTCAGGGAGGACACATTATCATGTTGTGTGCCCAAGGCACTGGGATGAAAACTTACGTTGATTCCTTTTCTCCAGGTATCATCAGTGCAGACTCAAATGTCTTAGCAGAGAGTTTGACAGGGAAGCACATCTCTGGGGCAAAGCACCTCTGTGTTTCCAAGTGGGCAGAAAGTAGTGCCATAGAAGCTGGCCACTGAGGGGAAAACTTCTCAAGCAAATCCTTATTGGACTTAATATCTGTGGGGCCTTGCCTGCTGCTATTTATCAGTAGGGAGGCTCAGGAAAGGGTGATGGCTCTTTCCATTTATGCCATTTGATGATCAATTTTTATGAATAAGTGTGCAATCCTTTTATTGGGTACTATTGAGTTTCTTGAAAATAAATATAACTTGGTTCTAGTTAAAAGACAAGCTAAAAAGGGGAAAAATACTCTACTTTGCATTTTTATGTCAGTCTCATTTTTTTTAATCTCCATTAATTTAAAGAGTTGAAACAATTTAAAAATAAAACCATTAAAATGAAATATGTTCTTAAGATGCAAACCGGTCTGTCAGCTCACAGCTCCGAGTAGACTTCATAGCTGAGCCTCTGAAAAAAGTAGTTTAAAAGGAAAATTGTGACAGCCTAGTAGTTGTGGCACTGACTATGCCATTTTCTTCTGAAAGCCTCTACCTGCAAAAATTAATCAATTTAGCAGTATTTGGGTGGGTTTGCAGATTAATGCAGGCTTTAATACAGTGAGCTTGTCTTTGCTAACACTGTGGGGTGGGGAAGCAGCTGTGGAAACTGAAGATTGTCATGGCAGTGTAAACCTGCATGGTAACTGAAGCTGTGCACGGAAAGAGAAACGATACGCGCAGTGCATGCTTATTACGCATTGATTAATTATTGCATTCGTAAATACACAGTCTCCTTGTAGATTGTGTAATAAGTTGCATAACAACTGGCAGTTTTTAATCAGCAACACTGTACAGCCGACTCAGACACATTACGGTGTGGCTGTGGGGAGGCAGAGAGGGAAAGATGGGGGAAAAAAGTATGTATGAGACAGAGGTGGTGTTAGTTTGTGAGCTGACACTGAGGGAGAGCAGATTTATGGTAGACATTAGTGATTGCACTCTCAGCCCACCCTTCTTCCCCCGCAAAAAAAAAAAAACCCACACGAAAAAAACCAACACCCTGAGCTAGCCTGTTCTTTACTTCTGTGTGCTTATTTAAATTAATTTTTGCAGACGACTACATGAGGTTATTTTGAAAGGGAAAGGCATAAATCTTATGGTGTGTTTGTGGAGCCCCCTGAGCAGAGGGAACACAAGGAGTTCTTACTGCAAGCATTGCCCTGAAAATCTCTAAAATCTTTGGAGTATTGCTTAAAGTAAAGGACATTTAAACAGCTTGTAGAGAGCTATTTTGTAGAAAATTAAATTGCTGTGGCCTATTTTGGTTTTTTTTTTTTTTTTTTTTTTTAAACTTGCCAGCTCCTCCTTCAAGCATCCAAGTAACTGCTGCCCGTAACAGCTCAGAAAGTGTGCTTTATGAACTGAAGTTCTTCTGATTTAATTAGAGAAAAATATATTTTGTAGCATGTTTGCTTTGGAGAAGTGTCTTTTTGAGGGCTGTAACAATTAAATTCTAACCATTCCCATTGCAAACTGTGTACATGGTACCATGGGAGTCTTTGCCATGTCCTCCCTTGAGCAACTGTGCCAGAAAATTATCATATCATCCATTCAAACAACCAAGGTTCTCTGTCAACAATGGGGAAAAGCAGCCTCCTATTCCCATAAGAGTTGCCTTTGTTTTTATAGCATTAACACTGCAGTTTAGTATATTAAAAATGCCCTAAAGAAAAAGGAAAAAAAAATAGCTTTTGGTGTGCTCTCTTGAATTTCTTGTATATGCTTTCCACTAAAGAAATGCCCAGCTCAGAAAGGCAAAATCTGTGTATTACTTTTTGCATCTTAGTAGTTTCACTACAAGTCAGTGGAGCCAATTGCCTTGTAAGAGCACCACACAAATTTAAGCCTGCAGTGTGGGCACAGGAGTTAAATATTTAGTTGCCTCCTCCTTAATGCACACAAATACACCAGCACATTCTTCTTTTTAAGGCATGGGC